TTAGGTTACAGATATCTGTATTACAGACATTAGGTTACAGATATCTGTATTACAGGCATTAGGTTACAGATATCTGTATTACAGACATTAGGTTACAGATATCTGTATTACAGATATTAGGTTACAGATATCTGTATAAGCATGTTGCTTGGGCATTTTTTTCTGTGTTTCTTTTACAATATCAAGCTAGTTAATAAATCAGTGTTACAGTCATCAGTGCTTCAGACATTGGTATTACAATATGGATGATACAGCTAGCTATAGCTAGGTGCAGCAGAGACACTAAGTAGGTTTGTTCCCACTCCACCGTAGGGCCTACACAAATGAGATCCATTTCATTTCATTGTTGTTTTGGCTGAGCCATTCAAGATTCAGGTGAGATTTACTGGGAAAACTCCCTATATTATATGACATGCTAGGTGCTGCCACAGATAGGGATGTTCCATGTACAGTAGGTACCACAGATAGGAGTAGGTACCACAGATAGGGATGTTCCATGAACAGTAGGAACCACAGACAGGGATGATCCATGTACAGTAGGTACCACAGATAGGGGTGTTCCATGTACAGTAGGTACCACAGATAAGGATGTTCCATGTACAGTAGGTACCCCAGATAGGGATGTTCCATGTACAGTAGGAACCACAGATAGGGATGTTCCATGTACAGTAGGCACCACAGACAGGGATGTTCCATGTACAGTAGGTACCCCAGATAGGGATGTTCCATGTACAGTAGGCACCACAGACAGGGATGTTCCATGTACAGTAGGTATCACAGATAGGGATGTTTCATGTACAGTAGGTACCACAGACAGGGATGTTCCATGTACAGTAGGAATCACAGATAGGGATGTTCCATGTACAGGAGGTACCACAGATAGGGATGTTCCATGTACAGGAGGTACCACAGATAGGGATGTTCCATGAACAGTAGGTACCACAGATAGGGATGTTCCATGTGCAGTAGGTACCACAGACAGGGATGTTCCATGTACAGTAGGAACCACAGACAGGGATGATCCATGTACAGTAGGTACCACAGATAAGGATGTTCCATGTACAGTAGGTACCCCAGATAGGGATGTTCCATGTACAGTAGGAACCACAGACAGGGATGTTCCATGTACAGTAGGTATCACAGATAGGGATGTTTCATGTACAGTAGGTATCACAGATAGGGATGTTTCATGTACAGTAGGTACCACAGATAGGGGTGTTCCATGTACAGTAGGTACCACAGATAAGGATGTTCCATGTACAGTAGGTACCCCAGATAGGGATGTTCCATGTACAGTAGGAACCACAGATAGGGGTGTTCCATGTACAGTAGGTACCACAGATAGGGGTGTTCCATGTACAGTAGGAACCACAGATAGGGGTGTTCCATGTACAGTAGGAACCACAGATAGGGGTGTTCCATGTACAGTAGGAACCACAGATAGGGGTGTTCCATGTACAGGAGGTACCACAGATAGGGATGTTCCATGAACAGTAGGAACCACAGACAGGGATGTTCCATGTACAGTAGGAACCACAGATAGGGATGTTCCATGTACAGTAGGCACCACAGACAGGGATGTTCCATGTACAGTAGGAATCACAGATAGGGATGTTCCATGTACAGTAGGAACCACAGATAGGGGTGTTCCATGTACAGTAGGTACCACAGATAGGGATGCCATATTCGATGGGCCAGTGGATTGGTTTATATAATAAACAGATTTGAAAAGCGAAACAGTTTTTAGTGAAAAATGAAGTTAGAATTGATTGAGCCACTTCAGATAGTTTTATGATTCATTGTGTATTTCGACTCCGACAGGATTGGTTAACAATACAGCTTCTACAAAATAACAGCTTTGGTTTCGATACAAACAGAACCACACTGTGATCGTGTAATTTGGTACCTACTGTACATCTCACAATGGCGCCGGGCTACACGCCTCGTATGTTTACTCCTCACACTGTGATCGTGTAATTTGGTACCTACTGTACATCTCACAATGGCGCCGGGCTACACGCCTCGTATGTTTACTCCTCACACTGTGATCGTGTAATTTGGTACCTACTGTACATCTCACAATGGCGCCGGGCTACACGCCTCGTATGTTTACTCCTCACACTGTGATCGTGTAATTTGGTACCTACTGTACATCTCACAATGGCGCCGGGCTACACGCCTCGTATGTTTACTCCTCACACTGTGATCGTGTAATTTGGTACCTACTGTACATCTCACAATGGCGCCGGGCTACACGCCTCGTATGTTTACTCCTCACACTGTGATCGTGTAATTTGGTACCTACTGTACATCTCACAATGGCGCCGGGCTACACGCCTCGTATGTTTACTCCTCACACTGTGATCGTGTAATTTGGTACCTACTGTACATCTCACAATGGCGCCGGGCTACACGCCTCGTATGTTTACTCCTCACACTGTGATCGTGTAATTTGGTACCTACTGTACATCTCACAATGGCGCCGGGCTACACGCCTCGTATGTTTACTCCTCACACTGTGATCGTGTAATTTGGTACCTACTGTACATCTCACAATGGCGCCGGGCTACACGCCTCGTATGTTTACTCCTCACACTGTGATCGTGTAATTTGGTACCTACTGTACATCTCACAATGGCGCCGGGCTACACGCCTCGTATGTTTACTCCTCACACTGTGATCGTGTAATTTGGTACCTACTGTACATCTCACAATGGCGCCGGGCTACACGCCTCGTATGTTTACTCCTCACACTGTGATCGTGTAATTTGGTACCTACTGTACATCTCACAATGGCGCCGGGCTACACGCCTCGTATGTTTACTCCTCACACTGTGATCGTGTAATTTGGTACCTACTGTACATCTCACAATGGCGCCGGGCTACACGCCTCGTATGTTTACTCCTCACACTGTGATCGTGTAATTTGGTACCTACTGTACATCTCACAATGGCGCCGGGCTACACGCCTCGTATGTTTACTCCTCACACTGTGATCGTGTAATTTGGTACCTACTGTACATCTCACAATGGCGCCGGGCTACACGCCTCGTATGTTTACTCCTCACACTGTGATCGTGTAATTTGGTACCTACTGTACATCTCACAATGGCGCCGGGCTACACGCCTCGTATGTTTACTCCTCACACTGTGATCGTGTAATTTGGTACCTACTGTACATCTCACAATGGCGCCGGGCTACACGCCTCGTATGTTTACTCCTCACACTGTGATCGTGTAATTTGGTACCTACTGTACATCTCACAATGGCGCCGGGCTACACGCCTCGTATGTTTACTCCTCACACTGTGATCGTGTAATTTGGTACCTACTGTACATCTCACAATGGCGCCGGGCTACACGCCTCGTATGTTTACTCCTCACACTGTGATCGTGTAATTTGGTACCTACTGTACATCTCACACTCATATGTCACGATATCTGATGCTTTCCATCGCATATAAGAATTACCTGATCTCTATGTGACATCAGCATAACACTGCATGAATCCACATATTTATACAATACTCTGCTTGATATTCGAGTGGGCAGCAACATACACATTTTATACAATCAACATGGTTTGTACTACCAAGTAAGTGAATTGTAAAATGTGTGTTTTCTTTTTGGTGCAGTTATTAATTTCTTCATTTGTCTGATCGTATGTTTTAAGAAATGGTATAGGTACAAACTGCTTCAGACATATAACCACAAACATCAAAACTAGGCCGTTTATCTTTTTTATGTTATTTTTTGTTTTCTATTCATTTTCCAATTGTTTGATCTTTAAAACCGAGGAAACAAGCTTTGTCTTGTTCCAGTGCATATTTAACACCGGATCATCCCTCATTTATATCATCATTGGAGATTGAGGTTTGTTTTAGGGCCTCTCAACAGCAGCTCGTATTACTGTTATAGGCAGTACACTACATGTTACAGGTTTACAGACCCGTCAAAACAGGACACGCCCCCTACGTCCAGTGACATGCCGACATTACTGTCGGAGGACATGCGTCGGGAGATACAGAGACAGAAATGGGAGGAGGAAGCACAAGCTAACCTTAACGGCCCAGTCCACTACTCCAATGTACAGTTTGATGGTAAGCAATCATCACAATGTGTTGTTATAGGACATGGATTGCATTATAATCGTGGGGCTGATTTTGGGTATGATATTGGAAAAGCCATACAGTCAGTATTTGATATTCTCTATTTACTATATAGTTGTACTGGTAAGAACATAGTATTTTGTAAGTTGGGAACAATAAATTATTACAGTATGGGATCAGTAAATTGTTAAAGTATGGGAACAGTAAATTGTTACAGTATGGGAACAATAAATTATTACAGTATGGGATCAGTAAATTGTTAAAGTATGGGAACAGTAAAGTGTTACAGTATGGGAACAGTAAATTGTTACAGTATGGGAACAGTAAATTGTTACAGTATTGGAACACAGTATGGGAACAATAAATTGTTAAAGTATGGGAACAGTAAATTGTTACAGTATGGGAACAGTAAATTGTTACAGTATGGGATCAGTAAATTGTTTTCCGTGTCTAAATTGCTATTTAGAACAGGAAATTGGTTTGAATTCTCGATGATTTGTTGAATTCAATTTTCATGTTTTAGTTGACATATAAGAACAGGAAAAAACAACACACCGGTACTTTCCACCATGATAATTGATCTAAATATGAGTATTTGTTTACCTCAGCTTCATTGAAGGTGAATACTGACAGAGTGATACAGGGCTGACAGGCCTTTTTTAATGAAAGTTTTTGTCTTTGGTGTGCATAATATCTTATTTGACTAATTGTTATTTCAGAGATCAGAAATCATGGCACTGGCTTTTTCCAGTTTTCAAAGACAGAAGAGACAAGATTAAAGGAGATGGAAACCTTGGGGGACTTGCGCCAACAGGTGATTAGGGATTACATAGCTTTATGATGGTCATTATTATCAGGACTGTTTGAATCAATATACCAACAAGTGATTAGGGATTACATACCTTTATGACGGTCATTATTATCAGGACTGTTTGAATCAATATACCAACAGGTGATTAGGGATTACATAGCTTTATGATGGTCATTATTATCAGGACTGTTTGAATCAATATACCAACAGGTGATTAGGGATTACATAGCTTTATGATGGTCATTATTATCAGGACTGTTTGAATCAATATACCGATATGATGCTATACTTCCAATTTTCAATTAAGGGATAACCCTTCTGTGTTTTAAAATTTGCGGCGATTTATTGTGATTATAATGTTGCAAATTGAGTTTCCGCGGAGCCAGTAAAACTGATATTTGCACGAGTCATGATATACTGCCCCAAATTTCATAATACTGTAGGGTTATCCCCATTCTAATTCATAACCAAAACCACGGAAAGGAACATCGATTTTAAGTTATTTTTGAGTGTTTTCTTCAAATTCTGGATCTCTCTGCTCTGGATTGGTGACGTCAGAAATATTGAAAAAAATATAATAAAAAATGTGAGGCGGAATTACGCTGACCTTTTGGGGTCACGCTAATATTCGTGACCTCATGAATAATCAATTTCATGACGTGTCAGGATCAGTTGGGGTCATCGACGTCATTAACAATTGCCATCTGGGCTTCATATGCAAATGCGGACATTATATCGTGGTTTTACTGTCGCAAATTATTTTGATTGACCAATCAAATGCAGTGTTACATCTCAAATGAATTAGAATTGTAAATTAATTGCTATGTAGAGTACTAAATGTGTAAATGTGATAAGCCACATCACCCACATCTGTGATAGATACCCAGTGTAGGCCACATCACTCACATCTGTGATAGATACTTCAGTGTAGGCCACATCACTCACATCTGTGATAGATACTTCAGTGTAGGCCACATCACTCACAT